AAGGAGGCCCTGAAGGACCGCTAAGAGCGGCGAGACGCCCACGACTGGCCCTGGGTGAGCACAGTCATACTAATGCTGTTGTATGTTTTTTGTTATTTTCATGTTTTCTATTCTTGATAAGGTTTACTCACTTTTATATGGAGACTTCTTTCCCGTTCAGCCTGACATGAAAACTGTTACTGACATGATTGTTTGTCTTGAGATATCGTGCGCTTGTCGTATTGTAGGTCCGCTCCAACCTCTTAACTAAGGCCAAGCTAATGTGGTCGATGCGGTCGATATAGTGGGTGTGTATAAGGCGAAGTCGATCAGTGATATCCTAATCCCCTCTCCACAGAAAATATTGGAGCAGATCTGGCGTTCCTGTTAGTTTAGTATCATATGTTTCTCTCTCATTTGGAATTACTTATCCCTTTCTAGGCTGAAATATATACCTACAACCTCGGGAGTAATATCTACCAGATGGCGAGTGATTGTCGAGTCCCCTGCCCATCCCAACCACCCTCCATGGCCAGAATCGTGGTTGGTGTTTTGAGTGGCGTAATTTGTAACCTAAACTAAGAAAGGTTTAAAAACAATTCGATTTTAAATGGAGAAATTCATATCAGTAGCCGGATGTATCGAACTATTAAGTGTCGACTATCAGTTTCGGGTATATTGAAAGCCGAAGAGAAGAAGCTGACGTAGTCGAATTGTCCCAAGCCTGTCTTATCCACCCTCCAGGGCTGGTGTTATCATATGGTATAGAAGTAGTAGTCGTCGGTTGATGCAGGATTGGTCACACGCCATATATCGGTGACGGGTGTATTTTCAACTGCGTACCGGGTCCACCCAATATGAAATATTTTTTTTTCTGGAAAAAAGGGCCACTATTGCAAGATTGATATTACTCTACAGGGTGGCAATGACATTTGATTGGCTCGTGGGTGTTCGTGATATAATCTATCAACAACACAAGCTGATCATAAATGATTGATTGACAGCGGCGGTAGGGATCTTTTAGAGATCACAGAGGTGATTTTGATTGGAAAAGATTATGCTAGGTGGTTAGACCTGGTATCTTGCTGGATGCCGGGAGGAGACTGTAGTTGTTAGGAATTGAAGGGGGTTCATCGGCCTACCAGTTGTATGTTTTAGGTCTACGCAGGTCAGCTGATCTCCGCCCATCCAATCCCGTGGGTGTGAACACCTGTTAGTAACACAGCAGAATAAGTACAAAACTGGTAGATGTGTATCTCAATATATGGGACGTGCATGTCAAACTAACCAAAGTTTATTAGCAGAGTGACACTATATCAGATTTAGAGGAAACATCACCCACCTGCCTATGGTGAATTTCTGATATCGTACATGTCTTAGGCCCATCCCTCCTACTCATCTAAGGCTAAGGAAACGCGAGACGTATCTAAGTTGATTTTAGCCACAAGCATATGTAGGGGCAAATCTACCCACAGTACAGTGTGACGACGCTGAATTAGTCGTACAAGTCAGTAGTCTAGGCTTAATGCTATCAGCTACTCTTTAATCTAGACAAAGTATGACTTACTGATAACACTAAACATAGTGTCGTAATTATCCTAGGCCCGTCCTATCCACCTATCCATAGGTCTGGTTATTGTTAGGCACCTGATGCCAGCAGTAATGGTCCAAGGCCCCCAACTTACCCATATGAGCCCAAGAATAAATAGAAAGAGGGATTAGAAGTACCTAGTATTTGTTGTCGTACTTGTCCCTGGCCCATCCCTGCCACCTACCGGGACCAGAGTAGTTGTTGAGGCAGTCGAGTCAGTGAGACAGTCGGGATAGTCGAGATAGCTGAGATAGTTGTGTCGATTCCCTGGCCCACCCCAATCACCCACCTACAGGCTAGGTTGTCGTTATCTGATGTCAGCAGTAGCCGCTCCCAACTTACCTATATAAACTCTAGGATAAATAGAAAAGAGAGAATGGGAAAGACCTAGAATTTAGTGTCGTACTTGTCCCTGGCTTATCTCTACCACACACCAGAGCCAGATCGATTGTCGAGATAGTCGATGTGTCGTCGATATCGCCATGATGTCGTGTCCTGGTTACTTCAAGTGTCATCGGTATGTCGTAGATGTCATCAAATTGTCGTGCCGTGAGCGTTGTCAATTTCGTGAGTATCGATAATTCCCTGGCCCATCCATACCTCCCATCCGTAAGCCATATTGTCGATTTTGTCGAAGTTTGTCGCACATTGAGTTCGTCCTTATGGCGTAACGTCGATTGCCCACCCACCTCTGCCCAAGATGGTGCTCCTGTCAAAGGAGGCACGTTCGTTGAAATTGAAAGGCCTTGTTAGTAACTACGCGAAACAGGTGGAAGAACTACCTTAGTAAATTTGCTGTTGTCAGATATTTATTGAAGTAGAGGAGGATGCAGATTGGAGAGTAGATTAGTGGGAGGGATAGAGAGAAGGATAGTGAAGGGTAGAGAGAAGAAAGCTGTGAGACCCTGTGTTGAGAGATAGTTGCAAGAAAGAGAAAGTTCTCGAGGAAAGAAATGCAACGGACATATTTATACATAAAAGGCTCGATTGCATTGAGTCAGTATTATTTCAGAGCCTGATGAGTCTCGTCTAAAGGATTTTGATAATAACCACTGCACGCTTCGGAGTGGACTTCCTATCGGTACAATGAAAAATTTTCAACCTCAGGACCAGTATTGGTAGATTTCTGTGACGGTACGATGACAACGAAGAATGGATCCACTAGTCACCAGGGTGTAGCTACAGCCTTCTAAATACAAAATATAACCATCTAATAAGTATGAAACCCCAGAATCGATACAATTGTTAATTAGCATCCCCACGGGGACCCGATATCTTACGCTACCTAGTTCTAAGTAGTTCATACGTGGAACCTTGTTCTAGATAATATTCGATACGGTGTCCATCTATACGCAACAACAATCTTACGGATTACTCTTGGGGTAATTGCGATTGCAATAAACATAGCTCGAATAAATTAATCGTATGAGTTATGGATGTACTCAACCACAAGACCTCTTATGTAGACATGACACGATGTTTGCTAGACCTTTGTTTACTATCATATCCTACGATGACAACCAGGGAATGTTACAGTAGCAATATTTTGTTTCTATACTTCGCTTTTACGATATTTTTAAGGTTAAACCAATCATTCAGGCCCGACGTCCACACGTCACGCGCTTCTGGTACACCACTAAACCCCCTTCCGCCACGAAGCTTAGCATGGCCCTTCCCAATACTAGTATACTACTACGCCGGGTAAGGAGCTCTCAGTCATATTCTGCAGTTGGCCATTTTTAACCAGTACATGAACTTTTACTGTTAATGCAATGTCTGTCGACCTACTAGGCTCCCGCGCAATGAGTCATGAGAACTCCAACATGGGCAGAGAACCATGGTTCCATCCCCCACAGATTGTGAAATTCTGGGGTACAAATACGCTCCACCGTTGCTTGGGGGCTTATTCCAAATTCTACATATGCATGTGGCTGGCTCTTTTTGGTCCCCGGACTCTATGTTCTTTCATGAAGATCATGGAGGGTCAAACCGTTAGTCTGAGTCTTTCATCGGGAATTCCGAACTCAGCAATCTCAGCAATCTCAGCAAGCTAAGCTAATTGGAATTGTCAGCACGCAACAGTGTAACAACGTAACGAAACTAGAACCGGGGAACAATTTGTTGTCGGAAAAAATAAGCAATGTCTCACTTCTTGTAGGCTCGTTGTCCGGGCTTTAGAAAGTCTTACCGAAGTACAGGAGTATCGTGCACAATGTTTTAGGTCTCAGCATCTGTGGTTTCCAACACCCACCAATAAGATTGCGCGGTAGTCAGCCACAACATGGAAAAGAAATGAGAATACGGAGTAGCTACTTTCGTCTGCTTTGATAATCGGATAAAACATGTTTTAACTTCCGCTTAATTAATCGATCGATGATGAATTGGGCAAGCTCCTTGCATAAGATACTTGAAGGGTGGGGTACAGGGATGCCGTTCGCTGTGCCCTTCTTTCCGGCTCCTAGAGCATATATCAATCGCTACTTTTTAGGCAATAGCATATAACTTAATAAAATACTACATATTGAGTTAGCACAGACGCAATAAATCCTATAACATGACAGATAAGCATTTGCTCATTTTCCGCAGTTTGCGAAAACTGCCTCCCGAGATGCACCATTGTTTCATAAATTAAGTAGCCTACGCAGTATCAAGAACGTCCCACTCGAGCAACTGATGGAGCCAGAATATTATTCGTAGAAACTACATTCGCTGCGTTCTGCAGATAACGATATTTTCTAGAACTGCACTATAGCTGGATGAGCCGGTCTGCCTTTTCCCCGAAACGGCTCAGCACCCAGAATAGCCACCGCTGGAAGAATTTCATCCTACGGAGGTAGGTCCGTTGATATTGAGGAAATTAATTTACTTGCTACCAGAGAGCAGAAAGGAATATGACGCAATTGCCGATATCACCAATGCACTAGGCTGGGGATCGGCGGTGATCGACAGCTGTGCGATGAATGTTCAGGAATATCCGTGAGTTCTTTTGTCGCTGGTATAGGTCAGACATACTACGTGATACTACCTTTACGTATAGGTGTGGGATTTCTCTATATACAAGTGAGGATACCTGGGGGAATTGAAATGACAGGAAGAATTAAGTTAAGAGTCAAACCGCTACTCTTTAATGAAACGATGACGCCGAATTCGTCAGGATCCTTCAAACAGTGGAGATCCTCGCTCCACAAGATGCCTCGGGAAATCCGAAACATACTGATATTCTCTGCAGCAAAGAAGAGAAGCCTTCATTGCGATCCAATCTGATAATGGATTCTGAACGGCGGAATTCCCGAATATGCCTGTTCCTGTGCTGTGAGGCTGTGAGAATATAAATAGATTTGCTAGAATCTTTCAGAAATTCTCAAAAATGAGACCAAGAGATTTACATTTACCTACACCGAAACCGACATAGTAGAAACCGCCAAGTAATATGAATCTCCTTCTCCTAGCGGGCTTGCTACCCCTGGCAGGTTCCCAATCTGTCTCAGACCTCTTCCTTGAGAACGCCCCATCTTCTCCTCGCCCGTACATCATCCCTCATTATGCCAACTCCCATGCGGTCACCGTGGGTAGCCAATTGTACCGCTTTACGGTCACCGGACCCTCCTCCGACTATGCTTTCACGCTGATGAGCACCAGTGCGCCTTCCAGCGGCAGTCTTGGCGTGCTCCCGCATATCCACCGCACGCATTACGAGAATTTCTTCAACTTCAAGGGTCGCTTCCAGCTGTGGGCGCAGTACGGCGAGGAAGAACAACAGGCACGGCTGTTGACACAGGGCGACTATGGATCGGTACCAAGGAAAACCACACATACCTTCCAGATCCTCGACCCGGACACCGAGATGGTGGGCGTAGTCGTTCCAGGAGGTTTCGAGTAAGTCCAAGAGATCTGCGGACGAGCGGGTAAAACGTCACAGGGAAGACGCGAAGCTGACAGACGCTAACTTCAGGGACCTCTTCTACGCGCTGGGCCAAAACTACACCTCCGCCACAAAAACGCCCTACGTGCCGCAGGCGACTAATGATTCATCCGCCACCGGACCGGACGACAGCGGGATCTCCGGACTGAAATCTTTCGATGTCTACGCGGAGCTCGATTTCGAGCCGCGCCGGGATCTCGTGAACGGCTCTGCGCCGTCTGATGAGGGCTGGCATACCGAGTCCGCTTCCCTCGGCGAGCCGGGAAGGCCCTATTTCATCGCCAACAACTATGGCCCCAAGTACCTCAACTCTAAGCATGGAGCGTACCAAATCGTTCAGCCTCTCGTCACCAATGCTCAGGCGCAGGATACTAATTTCACCATGGCGACACTCATTCTGAGCCGGCAGCGCGCGTCGAGCTCGGCTCCGACGTGGACTGCGACTGGGGCAACGGCGTTTGAGGTGCTAGAGGGGTCAATTCAGGTCCAGATCGGCGACTATCCGGCTACTTGGCTAGAAATGGGTGATGTTGCATTTGTGCCCGCCACGGTAGAGTATCGTTATTGGACGGAAGGGTCGTATGCGAAGGTGCTGTCCGTTAATGCTGGCCGGGATGGACTCAACGAACAGTTGATTAGCGAGGGGAAGGAGTGGGGTTATCCGACTTTTCCACGTTATTGATTGTCATGATTGTCATGTATTCTCTAATTGGTGTGTCAAAAAAAATCAGAAAAAAGCACTGTAGTGTATATAGTGACATAGTCCCTAAACTTATGATCGCAGAGGGGGTCTATCCGAGAAAAGCCGACCGGTCGCATTGCGTGGTATTACATCGTGTAGGGGTCGAATCACCGCATCTATCCTGGCCTCATGGGCGGGGAAGCTCCCAGTGCTCTTTCAGTATTGTGTAGAATGTAGTGTAGAATGTGGTCTAGCTTGGACGTTGGAGATGCATAGTGACAGCTTCATCAACCGCCAAGGAGCGGGGGATTGCTTGGCGAAGAGGAGAGACTGGTCCTCTAAATTGACAATAAGTGCACAAATCTGGCAGGTAAAAGAGCCCATATGCAAGTCAGAGCACACTCATACGCCTCATGTTGGGGAAATAGCCGCCGTCTCGCCTTAGTTGCGCATCCTGATGAGGATCTCACGCCACCCCGTCGTCGTCATAGGCCAGCTTGAACTCGACCGGGACGTGGATGAACTCCAGTTTTATTTATAGAAAGGAACGTTGGAGTTATTGTGCATGTATGAACTAGGGATCTGGACATGAACGGATGGAGAGGTGGCAAGGCACGATGGAGACGGTGTGATAATGCAGGTGAAGTGCAGTAGTAAGATTGGTATATATAGAAAGGACAAATAAAATTATCCCAGAAGAGTTAGTTTATTAGCTACTAAACTAGTGTATATGATGGTGCAGACGCCATGATGGTTGCAAGTCACTTAAGTTAGGGCTATCCTTGCACGGGACAGACCGCATATGCGAGAGGATCACATCAGACGGGAGATACCAAGTACGGAGCTGTGTTTTCCCACTACGCTAGTGTAAGCTTGGCATTCAGCGTGTAAGCGCTTTACCATACAAACTAGTAGGGAGGGCCCCTAATATTAGAAATATAGATATCTTTATCAAAAATGCAGATATCTCAATGGAAAATGAAGCTATTCAAGCGCCTAGAAAAGGGCTCCCTGACCTAGATCCTGGCGTTTAGAAAGCTGTTTCTTCAGGCAGGCCCTATTCCAATCCCGATTATCGTGGCCAGTACATCCCTCTCTATACTCGTTCCCCCCTTCTAGCTTCTATGATCTGTTGAATATGCCTAGGCAGCCGCTCAACCCAGTATTATATAGCCTCCTGAGGCAGCTTATCCCAGGCCTTAGTCCAGGCCTGAATACTAGTCTTTCTGTCCCGAGGGGCGCCTCGAGAGGCAGTTCGGCATTTTAGATAGAACCAAGCAGATTCTATAGCATTGAGGTCAGGTGGGTTCCCTGGCCAATCTAGTAAACACTGAATCTCGTTGATATCATACATCTGCTGTCGACAATGATATCAGTGCGCAGGTGCGTGATCCTCTAGAATAACAGTATTAAGGTGCTTTACCATACATTCTTTTACAAAAGGCAAAAGCTTAGGGTTTAGCACCTCAGAATAGTATCTATACCAGTCAATTCTGCCTTTATCATATTCTAAGCGGCCATTCTTTTTAGTCCAATTCCATTTAGGCTCCCTGCCAGGTATACAGCCACCTCGGAGCTTTAATCTGGCCATAGCAGTCTGCAACTCCCATTTTTCTCAATATAGTGGTTCTATCTGCAGATTTAAAGTTTTAATTTCTTTAGAAGCGGCTTTCCTCTGCTGAGCTTTCTCAGGAAGATAGATATGCATATGACCTTTCTTATTGTATATAAAACAGCCCCAAAACATAAAGTCAGAAACGCCTTTATATTGTCGGCGTAGAATGGACTTGTCATAGGCCTTAGATACCCGTCTCCAGACCCGCCGGCCGCCTCGCCTTTGGTTTAGGCAGACAGATGTTTTATCTGTAAAAAATCCATTTCTTGAAGTCCTCGATAGTATAGTGTTAGTAGGCCAGGCAGAATTCAAGCTATTTTCTGCGCATTTCTTTAGTAAGACCAGGTTTAATAGTTGGTTTGACTGAGTGGAAACCTGTTTTTCTAAGAATTCGCCAGACAGAGGCAGGTGATATACCAGTTTCAAAGGCAACCATCTCACAGCTTTTTTCTCGGCCGTTTTATCTTTCTGAATAGCTTTAACTACTGCCTGCTTAATAGAATCAGCTATTTCAGGCCTACCAGACCTAGGATTATCCTCTAGATATTCAACTAGGATTCTAGGATCCTTAGTAGGATCAAAACCACGCGCTCTGGCCTTTTGCTTCTAAAAGTAGATCACTGAGTGATGTAGGCCACTAAGGCACTCTATTTAAGCAATATCAACCTTTGCATTTACTAGTGAAATCGCTTGAATCCTGACCCCTAAAGGATAGTGCTTTCCAGGCATTCTGAATAGGTAGACAGGTAGGTAGGCATACTGACCGGTAGGAATATCAAAACATCAGAGGTCATGAATAGGGGTCAAACCCCCTATTCTGAATAGGCTTTATAATGCTTTTTCCTCTGAAAATGATGAAAGAATGATCTATCAACTAGATGAGTTTGATTATATGGCAATTTGTATGGTAAAGCCCTTACCAGGTTGACTGCCAAGCTTACTAGCGTAGTTGGATATCTTTTGCACCACAGCTCCGTACTATCAATGGAATCACTAGCAGAAAGACGATCGCATTGCAGGAGGCTGATTTACACCCAATTTGCATTTGATAGATTAAGTCCCTTCAGGAGATCCTAACCAATCTTCTCGAAACGTCTCTCGCATCAGATCGGGGTGTTGCTCTTTCTCACGGGTCCCACGCAAGGGAGGCGATCACAAAGTCCGCCCTTGTTCTAGACCGAAATTCCGAATAAGATTGTTGGGTGTAACCGACCGAGAATGCTCAGAGGTATTGATCATCCAGCAAACTTGCCGGTGTGATGCTGCCAAGAACCCACTCAACATTCCCACCTTATTAATCGGTGGAGCTTCTGAAGCCAGTCGATTAGTGACCATCTATTACCAAGCATTACGAGCCGAGACCTTGCCTATATGTCAGGCCACTTATGGCTCTTTGCATGTCCAGTCGGAGGCTGGGAATTAGTGATATCATCGGGAAAAGGTTACCCATTTTTTGGAATTTTAACGGGTTCGTAAAGTCATGCTCGGGTTTGCTTTGTCCCATTTTCTTCCTCCTGTATTTGATTATGCTCCTGAAATCCCCTTTCGCCAAGAATGGATCTGCTCATCCTGCCGACGAATGGCCGTTTGAGACTGCATCATGGCAGTAAACATTGTCCCTACTGGAGGGACCCAGTAGCCTAAGACAGCTCCACTCGTATCACATCACTTTTTTTTCTAGGCTCTCATATTCTAGTAATCAAGATGAGCCTTTTCCGATTGGGGTGATTGCAGTGCTATCTACCTTAGGGGGTTTTATTAGTCCCCTTACGTACCTTTTTCTCTTAGCCTGGATTAAAAGATCTACACATGCATATAAGTACCCAGGGCTTCACCTGCAAGGTCGCCTTTTTCCGTCTGCTAAGCTCCTTCGGTGAATGTTGATCATCCCACTGTGCATGCTTTGGTATTGGTTCGTTATATAAGTTCCTTGCGCCCCTCCCCCTTCCATTCCGTCTTCTCTCCCTTCCCTCTGAGCAACGGCGCTGATCTGTCTTGACACACGACAGATTACGACACAATGCGTGCCCTTTCCCTTGCAAGCCTTATTGGCATTGCCAATGCCGCCTGTCCGTACATGACTGGCGAGCTTGAACGTCGTGATGGAGGCAATAGCGACGCGACCGCCGCCACCGAGGAATTTCTGTCCCAATTCTATATGGCTGACAATGACACCTTCATGACCTCCGACGTGGGCGGCCCCATTGAAGATCAGAACAGTCTACAAGTTGGAGAGCGCGGGCCGACCTTACTGGAGGACTTCATTTTCCGCCAGAAGATCCAGCGTTTCGACCACGAGCGTGTATGCGCGACCCGGAGTGGATAGAAAATTTGAATCCTGCTGATTGACGGTGATAGGTTCCCGAACGTGCTGTGCACGCCCGTGGTGTTGGTGCCCATGGTGTCTTCACCTCGTACGGTGATTATTCCAACATCACCGCTGCCTCGTTCCTTGGAGGCGAGGGCAAGGAGACCCCCGTTTTCGTGCGATTCTCAACTGTCGCAGGGAGCCGTGGTAGTTCAGATCTAGCTCGTGATGTTCACGGCTTTGCGACTCGTTTCTATACCGATGAGGGTAACTTTGGTATGTCTCCAAAAATAAGTTTTTTTTTTTTTTTTTTTTTT